GGTGTCCCCCCCTGCGGTGTCCCCCCCCTGCGGTGTGCGGTCCAGGCCCCCGGCCCCCTGGGAGCCCACAGGTGCGTCCCCGAGAGGAAGCCTCGGCCCCTGGCCTGTGCCAGCTGAGCACTAGGCGAGGGCCGGCACGCGCCCTCCCAGCCCCGGACCCGGGGAGCGGCCTCGGCCGTGCTTCCCCAGGAGCTGGAGCAAGTCCCAACAATGTCTCAAAAACGACAAAGCCCGCCCCTCTCTGAAAAAAATAAAAACCATCTCAAGAATTTGCTCTCTGGGATCTGCAAAGAGCCGCGTGGGTGCCTCCTCCCCTCCTCCCCAAAGAGCCGCGTGGGTGCCTCCCCTCCCTTGGCCTCGTGGTGAGGAGAGGCCACGGGTGGCCCATGGTGGCGGGCAGGCCCGGCCTGGCAGCCTGGATGGCCACTGGCCAAATCCACTTTTTTTTTTTTTTGTCGGTCCTGGGACTTGAACTCTGGGCCTGGGCGCCGTCCCTCAGCTCTTCAGCTCAAGGCGAGGCTCTACCACTTGAGCCACAGCGCCACTTCCCGTTGTTTTTTAAAAAATAGGGGCCAAAGGCTAACATGAGTTTCACCCAGGCATACGGCAGGCGAAGGAGCTGCTTTTCCTGACAGCCCTGAAAAGCTTTAAGGAAACGTCGAAGACGGGATTCTTGTCACAGAAGAGACCTGTTCCAGCCCTGACTTGCTTCTACCTTCCTGGGGCCACCACTGGGCCCACACTCCCCCTCCCTCCCTGACTCCCACGTGTCCCTTCCAGAAACAAGCAGTCCATTAACCCTGTCTCCACCAACAGGCACAAGCTGTCCGGAGCCACGTGCTGCTGCTGCTGTGCACAAGAGTCCCAGGGAATGAGCAAATGCCATGATGCTCGTTTAGCAAGCTTCCAGGCTGTGTAAAGGGGGAGGAAAGTGAGACTCAGAGGTGGCTGCTCAGGGACCTTCACACAGCTCTGCAGCGCTGGAAGGAAAGGCAGAGCAGTCCCACCCTAAAACTACTATGCTGGAATACACTTGGAGCCTATGAAGTCAGTATGTAACACACCACCTATAAATCTACTTAATTTTCTAAACTCATTATGTGACTATAAGTTAAATCTATGAAATAGTATGCGAATTCCTAAAGAGGCAAGTTGTTTAAATAAAATATATCCAGGCAATGAGTATACTTAGGGCTAGTCGTAAGGCTTCAACTTAGTGCAATCACCTGTATTTTTCACATATGCAATTGAAATCACTGCTTCATTTTACTGGAAAAATGTTGTCATCCTCTCCCTGGTGCCAGCCAATCTTGAGCAGAGTATTCAGTGTGCGAGGGACACAAACATAACGAAATCCTACACGGTGTTTAGGAGGTAAACTCACCATTCTGGAAACATTGTCAGTGTGTCTAGTGAAATTACAAGCACTTAATATAACTAAACATCTGCAATCTTGAATACAAGTGCAACAGCAGACATAAACAAGAATTTCATAGCTGTGTTCATAGTAGCCTAAAATTGGAAATAACCCACAAGGATAAACTGATATAGAAATGTTCTGGTATATTAAACAATTTAAAAGGATTATTTCTCTTTTTCTTCATTCCTCTTCTTTTCTCCCCTCCTCTCTTCTGCTTTTGCTGGAGAAAACCCAAAAGGTTGCCAAGTTAAGTTCTAAGGCCATTAAGGATAAAAAAAAAAAGAGCTACCCACCTAGGAGAGCTATTTGACAATAAAACACGAAAACTATATACAATTTTTTCAATAGAAAACGAGGTTTTTGTTTTGTAGTATTCAAGGTAAGAGTCTCCTGGACTTTCCTGATCCTCAGACCCCAGCTCCCTGAGTGGCTGGGATTACAGCCGTGAGCCTTGGCACTGGCTGAGAAAAAGCTGTACAATCACGCTGTATGGCAAAGATTGCTTTTTAACCTTTCAGATGTAAGTGTTGAAGGGGGGAAAAGCCACAGAGTAAAAGAAAATGTATTCACAAGTAGTCACACAGGCATCTGCCTTCCAAAACAGATCAGGCTGCTTAATTCAGAATAACCTATTTCTTCAGAAACGTTTGAGTCACCGACTTTGAAAACTGTCCATGTGAGGTCGCAGCATCTGAGACTAGCCCTTTAGCCCGTGCAGATTAATGTTAACAAAGCACGGACGGGCAATGCTTCACCCTTCACCGCCTGCTGGCAGAACAGCTAAACCCGGGGTCCGGGAAAGCAGAGACAGCAGCCCGCCCTCCCAGCCCAGGAGACGGGGTGGGGCGGGCCCGAGCGGAGCGCGGCCCCACCCACGCCAGCCCCGCCCCTGCGTGCTCCGCCCTCTCGACGTAGTCCCGCCCCTGCGTGCTCCGCCCCTGCGTGCTCCGCCCCTGCGCCGCAGCCCCGCCCTCGC